TTTTTCATAGGAACGTGAGGATTTCATTAGAAAGTATGAAGAGGATCTGCTTGCTGTTAAACGCGCAACTGTGATCTAGTGGAATTCACTTATCTCATTACCATGTGGCTTCGTCCATTCCACCATCGTTCACTCCAGCTGTACGAATAGCCGTCCAGTATATGACTCATTCGTTTCAGTTTCCATGTCCCCTTGGCTCCCTGATTCGAAACTTCTTCCCATCTCTCTCAAGGAATTTACTATCACCTTTGCCCGAAACAACCAGCCCCGTCCCACTATCTCTTTTGGGGCACGGTAGCTAATCTGTTTGTGCGAACCGATTCGTCTGATTCGGACTCCTAGTTCACTTTCGGGGCCNATGTGAACACAACCGGGCCCCATCTTCGCTATTTGCAGGTTTGCATATGGACCAATCTGTCGTTCGTTGCGTTGTGATTTCATTTGATATAGTTTCTTCTTCGTTTGTGCTGTTTCCGAATTCTGAGTTCCGACAAGCATTTCTCCTGATCCGTTCTCCGCTGATTGTAATCACGTGGTGATTCTTTTCGGGTCAATGGTGCACAATCATTCACACAGAAGCTGTGGTGACCTGTTCGCACGGATCTGGAGGAACACTGTCATCTGTGCATAATAGCTCTGTGACATGTTGTCTCCCAAAACCCTTCGGTGTATTTGTTTGTACACACATAAACCGGCCACATCATACCTCTCATTCACCCTCTTTCTGTTTCATCGAACATCTTTGTTTCCGTCGTCACTGACATCTCTATCACGCACGAGCGCCCGTGTCCCATTCAATCAGGTGCCGCCGGACGTACCTCTAACAGAAAACATGCCCTTATCTAGAGCGCTTGATTGACAGTATGCGCGCACATACTTGTGATAGTTCCGTCCGTTATTCCCTGCGTGCACACAAGCTCCCCGGAGAGCTTCAACCCACAGGTTTCTCCTTTGCATGGACTCGGTGGACCGTCAGCATTTATCGCAGTCAGAGAGAAACTCTTTGTCAGGTTGCAGATCCTGTTTGCCGAGTACTGTGTTCGCTAACTGTCCGTCCGCAGTTTGTTTTTCACACCATTTATTTACCCTCTGCTGGCGTATTTACTGAACCCATTTTCTTTATGTCAACAGATTAAGAGTTACACTTTCATGCACAAAGCTTTGCTGCTCACATGCACACAGATCAACTTTCGACTCTTCATTCTACTAGTCTACGGTTGCTCTCCGAATATTATTATTAGTGGTAGTAATTTGGCAGTTATTGTTATTACGCAGTGATGAATGTCACAACTTTACATTGTGTCCAACACTGATTCAACCACATCCACTCATCCGCCAATTCAATTCACTTTGTTGTGAGATGTCCACCCCTGCTTCACCCGTTTACTGTATATGTGTCCACTTGTCTGTGTCCAGTTTCTGCGCTCTTCGAGCAGAGAACGATACCATCACCGCATCACGTGTTCCTAACAGCGTCCATTCATCAGATTCTGTGAGTTTTCTTTCGCCCCAGCCCCGCCCTTCGTGTCTTGATTTCTTGCGACCGCCGCTTTCTCCCTTCACTTGTTTGCGGTACTGTCTTGTGCTGCGACATTCTTCTCGTCCCTGGGTTTATCTTATCATTTTTCATTGTAAATGATGTGCGGTCGACAATGTGTATAGAAATCATAGTGATTGATGCCAACAAAGTTGGTATTCTGATGCCATCTCTCTCCGTGTATATAATCACTCACTGAGCATGATACAATAGATTCCACGTATTAGGAGAAGCGTGGACGGTCTGAAACATACTCTAAAACATGCTGGCGTTGACATTTTGCGTTGCCCGTTACTAATCTTATTGTCTACGTGGATAGTGCAGCTGAAATTGTATACCGTTGAAACATATTCGAAATAAAATGAGGCAAATACTACAATCGTGCATTTGCCAACTGGCGCTCAGCACCACTATGTTAGCATTGACAAACATAGAGATAGCAACGTCATATCTTAGACTGGATGTGTATCCTGTTGTTTTCCTTGACCATATTCTTGCTAGAATGATAGGGCTAGCAAACAAATGAATATTTTTATCTGGAAATCATCAGCATGCGCCGCACTAGAAGTACCTAACCGTGAAATCTTCTGAAGACAACATGATTGCATTGTTTTTATTAACAGTTTATCGGGCACAAAGCAAAACACAAGCGAACAGTCTACAATGACGGACTCGCTCAGGTTGGTGGGCGATACTCGGAATTTCAATTCCAGTGAACCTAAAGAAAATGAAAAATGTAGTTCAATCAGAGGGACACAAACGGTTTCTAGGTCAGTTCGTAAATTTAGAATGGTATCTGGTTTATCGAACAAATTTAACGTTAACAATGATGTTCAGGACCAAAAACCGGTCAGGAAATCAAATGCCAGGTATACTTGCGCCTGTAATCAGATATATATAATCGTGTAGTGAGCGTATTGCAGTTGAACTCCCTATTCTAGTTCACTAAAATTATGCCGATTACTATCTACATGCACTTCCAATGAATAGAAAAACGAATGGCAATATTCCGAAACGTAAACGAGAAGTAAAAGTTTGAATAAGGAACTGCTAGCTCGGCACAGCCGCTCGCTTAGACAGATAGACAAGGCATAATCAACTTAGTATTTGGTTTGAATAAATATGATGGAAGAAAACTGCTTCGCAAAGAAATCCCTTCGTATTATCTCCAAACAGTAAATAGCAACCGAAAGTGACAAGCAATTGCGCTATAACTGGCTCCAAAAAGGAATCTAAAGGCGATTAATCAGAACCAAGACAGTCTAACGTCTTTTAGGGTGCACATGACTGGCTTGATAAAACCTCTAATATCCATAATGGATTGATTTGGAATTGTGACCATTTTCAATCGACTAATAAGCGATCGATTCTACGTGCAATGTTTTCGTTCGGTTGGTTATGCAGAGTCCTCGCCTTTGGTACGTATTTCGGAACGTGTTCAGCCATTTGTGTATACAATATTCTGTCTATTCTACCTATTGCGATTGCCAGAGGAGTTAAATGCCGTGAGAGATGAAATCAATAGGGATGCGGTTCTTGGATAGTGGATTCGGGAGACGTGGAAGAATAGATATGCTGTGACGCAGGATAGGAAACATTCAGGAGGGCACTTTTGCTGCGCTGTCAGCCGCAAAACTTGATCTCTTGTAAGGTAGACCTAAGTAGGTGTTTCGTCTTTGGAGCTGCGAGTCAGCAGTAAGGTATTGTCCCTTGCCTCGCTATAAGGACAAATGAACGACTCGCAGTGTCCGTTGCCATGGCTGGTGGAGAATAGTAGAGACTTGTACAAAGCTGTCGTCGATACAAACCTTATCGGATTTGAAGAACCAGTGTTGATGGAAAGTTAGTAAAATGTAACTGCTGTGCAGAACATCTGCAAAACACAGATCAACGGTTCAGTTTTTACAACCACTGAACATACACTTTCGGTTTTGATTGGATAAAAGAGCTGAAGGAAGATTGGGTTGTTGAGAGCCTATTGCCTGGCTCGGAAGATAACGCGCGCCGTGGCAATCTATTTGGTAACATTCACAACCACTGGCTCCAGTCGACGACCTCGATTACCTAAAACCATGCCCAACCTCAGCAATGGTTGTCCGGTCTACCCACCAAACTCATACAATGCGGCGTAGATGGCGGGGTTTGATCACCGACAATCAATTTTCACCCTGTTTCCGTAATCGTTAGATCTCTGCATCATAAAGCAGCACTGGTCGAACTTCTACAGCATACAATCGACCCTTAACAGACAGCCAGATTTCGCGACGGCACCATAGATGTCTCAAGTTGGTAAATACCAGTCGGGCTTTCTGTACGCTTGCCGACACTTCATCATCATTGTACAGCGTAATACAGTGAAGCGAACTTCACTGACCGCTGCCAAACAAATAATGCATACAAGGAAAGTGATAATACGTAAGGAGGACATGGATTGGACCTATTTTGGGGGACGGGAAAAGAAAGCGAACCTCTATGGTCAACACACTGAGTACACGGCCCAACTGTGCATATAAGCATTCTGGTCTCATAAACGGTGACATGATCGCCATTGCTGTCGGTTAGCAGCCATGACCTTCCGTGTCTCCAACCATGCGGTTTCGGAGTCTTTTCGACCCCAACCCGGAAGACGAGAGACACCTACTCTACCTAATCGCTCTGTGCATTTCTTTAGGCCTTGTCTCCACGTCATCTGCTAGCCTCCACATGGCTTTCTGCAGCCTGTAACAGCCACTGCAAACAAGGCGTGCTGCGGTAGGCGACTGTCGGACATACGCAAAACGTGTCCTAACCAACGGAGCCTACTGAACTGGATTCGATAAGATAGCGAGTTCTTGTTTGATGTATTCACTTCACCGCTCTTGACTACGTGGCTTGTGAAATCTCTGAAAATCACCGAAAGGAGAGGTTTCTTAAACGCAATGTCTCATTCCCTCAAAAGAAACACCGGAAAACACGCCTTGCTGTGTTGTTGAAACCAGTTTGTATCTGTTTTAAGAACCCCGAGCGACTGACTGAAAAACTTTCGTTTCTGTATTAAATTATCAGATCCATGCAGATTTAATTTCACTTTCTTGACTTTACCATAAAAGAACTATTCCTCTTTATTACTATGATCAAACTAGCATACATCACACAGTTTGCCAAGTCTTTGCTCCGACTCAATCTCAGACGCTCGATAAGTTAGTGCAAACCAAAATATGGTGAGGCAGCTCACATGCATACGTGAATGGTTGGCCAAGATAAATTTTCCTGCTACTTTCATGCATAAATTATCGATTAATATTTAACCTGTGTCCCTAAGCACCACGCGCTTAATGAGGTGAGGTAAACGTAGGCAATACCAGTGATTATTTGGGTCGATTATTCGTACCAGGGTGTTTTTGTCTTGCCTTTCAGTGTAACCGAAATCAGCGCCATTACGAAAGTCTGTTACTGGATTTAATTTGAGGTATTCCTTTTCAGATCTACGATTGAAACATCGCAGAGGCCGAATACTGGTAATTGGGAGCGAAGCCTCGTTTTTAAAAACGACAATCATGTTGATCGGCGAATAGGTTTAAAAAACATTACCATATATCAGAAGAGCAGTGTCACTCACCTTAAAAATCGAAGTCATGTGGAGATCAGTAAGTGCCTTCGACTGTTCACTTGACAACTTCGACCGGCAATGATACGGGTCTGGTATCGGCTGCGGAAGAGACCACAGTTTCGGATGATGTAGATGTCTCGCCTCGTTTGGATGGTGCTACCCACTTTAGTTGTTCTGGTCGCGGTATGTCACGATGCGAAAACGGACATTTTGCTCGGTTTGTACAAGAAGCGCCGTATCGGCAAGGTATGGGGCTGGTTGCCACTGGAGTCGTAACAGCCACCGCAGGCCGATTAGTAGGATTTGCAACGACAGGAACACTCAAAGCCACAGGTGTGTGATAAAACGGGCAAGTCCGGTTAGTGCAACGGGACTGGTATCGGCAAGGAATCTGATTTACGGCTACGGGTGGAAGGACAGCGGTGACTGAGGAGGAAAAGAACGATTTCGATAACCGCTGCTAAAATACTGGGACGTTCCGTGCATAATATTATTCAAAAAATACAATCAGGTTACCTATATTCGGATTGCCGTGTATTGTCGTTATTATATTTCACACTTGTCTGAATCTAGGCTTCCTTTAATGTATCACGGCACAACAATCTAGGTAACAATGAAATCGGTCCAGATGTACACATAGCTGCTGTCGGAAGTATAAAGAAAACCGTCCATAAAATTATTGAAAAATAAACAAAGCGAAGTACGCATATCTGTTTTTTCACATTGTTTTCATGCACAGTGGAGTGTATCAAGAATGACCTGGCATGGTCAACTATAAAGTAAACTTGGTGTTCGGCTTTCAACAGTGTTAATCGAAGGCAACACTGGGCAAAGCTACCAAGTATTCATCTGAACTTGATAACACCAGTGAAAGACTGAAGCAGACGTCTAAGGACACCTATCAAAAATGACACACTTCGTCCGCTAACATCTGCTGCCGAGTGTCCATTATCTTTCGTTCGGACATATTAAGCGGGAACAAGTCGTCCATTTTAGAATGGTTAACCGAAACACCAACCATTTCTCGTCTCGGGCTTCACGCATGTAGGTAGGTTGAAATCTTCAGGATAAGCAGAGCTACGGGTGACCAAACGCATCATGAGATAATGGATAGAGGATATTTTCCAGTTTGATTATCTGGTCCCTATGGCA